CCTACACCGGTGGAATGGCTGCCATCGACGGCGGCGCGTATTTTTAAATTTAAATTTTATTTTTAAAAATCAATAAATTTTTATTTTTTTGTAAATTAGTATATTTATTTTGCGGATCCTGTATAGAAATTGTTACGACTACGTTAGAGTAAGAGTATTGCGCATGCGTGAATAGGTGGGGGAAAATTTAAGAGTGGGGATGCGTTATTGGTTGGAGTGAGGGTAAATGGGTGCGCATGCGTGAAAGGTAGGAGTGGGGATTTCGGGGTATATATTTAGGGATTTTGTCGAGTTTAGTCAGTAGCTGTTCTGTTCACAGATTCAGCGGTTCCAACAGCAGCAGCAGATTCCTATTGCCATTACTAACTGTCTTTTTTGTTATATTTACTGTCTTTTTTGTTACATTTATTGTTATATTTACTGTGTTTATTGCATTTACTTTGTATTGATTTTTAGGTTAAGTTCTTTAGTTTGTAAGTTCGTTTTGCTTAGTATAAGTATTTTAGTTTGTAAGTTCGTTCTTTTGTTAGCTTGTAAGTGTGTTCTGTTTAGTTTTAAGTGTGTTAGCTTGTAAGTGTGTTTCTTTTGATTTCAGGTGCAGAGATGAAGCGGAAGGCGACGACCACGGATGGACCACCACGTAAGTATCCGAATTACGGTACTATTCTTGACGAGAGTGACATCACTGTTACTCTCATTAAAGAAGCCCTTGAGTTGATACCTTATTTGAGTAACGTAAATGAGAGACGCTCTTTCATTGAACGATGGGTTGTAGAATGCTCACAACATGAAAACTTGTTATCGAGCATTCTCAAGTCGATGTACTTTACACATCAAAAGAAAAGATGTGTGAGCATTCTACAATCCATCATTAGACTTCGCGCATTATTTGAGTCTTATATTGTAGATGGCGCTGGAATCGATGACCCAGATATCAATAAACGTGTGCGCTGGGAAGAATGTGAGAGTGCGTTTGCGTGTAGACTGTACACTAATGTGATTCTAAATCTTGTACACATTGATATAAGCGCGTTTTTAGACGATGGGTCCACACTGTTTCAAGACCATATTAGAGGTGCTTTAAATAAGAATGGACCCATCGTCGTGTACGGCGTACTCATCGCAAACTTTAAGAGGGTGGAGAATGACGAAGAAGTTGTAAAGCCGATTCCTTTTGGAACCAAGGCCAACAACATCTTCCCTACAACCCTTTTAAAAGATTGGTTCGAGCAGTACATTAAGCAGCCGATTCTACATAGTGTTGAAGAGTTTTACGCCAAAGGTTCAAATTGGAACCTACAGTCAATTATAAAGCTTGAAATCAATGTAAATAAGTATAATCCGATGCGTGCGAGCTCTTACATTAGTTTACCTCCACAAATTAAAAACAAGCATGCATGTATTAATGTTGAAAATGCAGATAAAGAGTGCTTTAAATGGGCCATACTTTCTGCTTTACATTCAAATGTATCACATCCTGAGCGCGTTACCAGTTATAAAGAATTTAAAGATGAATTGAACTTTGACGGAATTGAATTTCCAGTGACGCTTAAAAATATCCCGAAATTTGAAAAATTAAATGATATTTCAATTAATGTCTATGGTTTATCAAAATACTATGGGGACTTCTCAACACATCCTCTCCATCTCACTGCGGAAAAAAGAGATAAGCATGTAAATCTCTTGTATGTTGCTGACATGTATGCGGATGAAAGTGTTGACAATAATGTATTGCATGACGATGATGGTTTTATGAACTTCCATTATGTATGGATAAAAAGTTTATCTGCGCTTCTGTATAAACAATTGTCAAATTATAAAGGTAAAAAACATATTTGCGACCGTTGCCTACACTATTTCAATTCGTTAGAAAAACTGAATGTACACATTGAGAATTGTAAAAAAGTGAATGAGTGTAAAATTAAATTACCGAAGCCGAAAGATAGCATTATCATATTTAAAAATTATAAGAATAAAGAGAAAGTACCGTATGTAATATACGCCGACTGTGAAAGTCTACTTCTTCCCGCCGATGAAGATGTAGACAATTTAAGTAAGACTGAAGTTTTCCAGCGTCACAAATTGTTAAGCATCGGATATTATATAAAATGTAGCTACGACGAATCATTATGTAAATATGTACCATTCCCGAAAAATGAATCTGACCCTGCTAAATGGTTTACTGAGGAATTAAGGCAATTATCTGAAAAAATTGATAATGTATTTAAAAATCCGATACCAATGAATGCCTTAACTCCTCAAGAAATCAATGACTTCAAGCGAGCGACAATATGTCACATTTGTAATGAGAAAATACCGGCAAGCGAAAAGAAAGTCCGCGATCACTGTCACCTTACTGGCAAATATAGGGGTGCTGCCCATGAATCATGCAATTTAAACTACCAAGATTGTCAGACAATACCCGTGGTGTTCCACAATTTAAGTGGCTATGACGCCCATTTTATAATTCACGCGATCTCAACGAGCTTTGAAGGGAAAATTGACCTCCTCTCCATTAACAAAGAGAAATATATCTCTTTTACTAAACACGTCAAGGGGAGTAAGGTCAAATTTCGATTCATTGACTCATTGCGATTCATGGCAGCATCCCTAGAAAAAGTCGCATCGTACTTAGACGAGTATAAAATTGTAAACTCTGTTTTTGCCAGTACGGTGACAGATCCGGATAAAATAAAATTGCTAACGCGTAAAGGTGTGTTCCCTTACGAGTACTTTGACTCAAAAAGCAAGCTCGACGAAACCGAATTACCCCCGATAGAGAAATTTTATAGTACGCTTTATGATGCCGGTATTTCTGATGATGAGTATGCGCATGCGCAGAATGTATGGACCGAGTTTAACTGTCAGAATCTCTACGACTATGTACATTTATACATGAAAACAGATGTATTGTTACTTGCGGATGTCTTTGAAAATTTTCGAAAAGAATGTGTTAAAGCGTACGGGTTAGATCCTGCTCACTATTATACGACCCCCGGTTTAACTTGGGATGCTATGCTCAAGTACACGAAAAAAGGATTGCAACTAATAACCGATATCGATATGATTATGTTTGTTGAGTCTTGTATTAGAGGTGGCATAAGTCAATGCTGCAACCGATATACTATAGCGAATAATCCATATATGGAAAATTTCGATGAAAGCAAAGATACTAGCTACATCATGTACTTTGACGCCAACAATTTATATGGCTGGGCAATGGCTCAAGCGCTCCCTTATGGCGGCTTCAAATGGGTTGAAAATGTCGACAACTCTTTCAATTTTAATGTATCCGACGATTCACCTGTTGGATACATACTCGAAGTTGATTTGGAGTATCCTGAAAGTATTCACGATACCCACAAAGACATGCCATTTTGCGCAGAAAATGCGAAACCCCCCCTCTCGAAACAGGAGAAATTATTAACAACTCTCCTACCCAAAGAAAAATATGTGATCCACTATCGAACTCTCAAACAAGTTGTTGCTAATGGCATTAAACTTGTTAAAATCCACCGAGTCTTACTGTTTAAGCAATCAACATGGCTTAAACCATACATAGACTATAATACAATGATGCGAACCAATGCCAAAAATGAGTTCGAGAAAAATTTGTTCAAGCTCATGAACAACGCTGTGTACGGCAAAACAATGGAAAATGTCCGTAAACATGTCGACATTAAGCTTGTCACCCAATGGTTTGGCCGCTATGGAGCTGAAGCCCTTATTTCTTGCCCGAATTTCCATAGTCGAGCGATATTCGACGAAAATCTGGTTGCCATTGAACTGCGTAAAACCGAGGTACTACTCAACAAACCAATCTATGTGGGGTTAAGTGTGCTCGATGTTTCCAAAACGCTAATCTACGATTTTCACTACGGGTATATGTTAAAAAAATACGGCGACAATTGTAAACTGATGTATACCGATACAGACAGTCTAATCTACGAAATTAAATGTAAAGATGTCTACAATGACATGAAAAATGACATCCAAATGTTCGATACGTCAGACTATCCCGCAAACAACGCGTACGGCATTCTGCAAGCCAACAAAAAGATTCTCGGTCTAATGAAAGACGAATGTAACGGCAAGATCGTTACCGAATTTGTTGGCTTGCGGAGTAAGATGTACAGCGTACGGGTTGAAGGTCAAGATTTTATTAAAAAAGCTAAAGGCATTAAATCCGGCGTTGTGAAAAAATCGATTCACTTTGATGATTATGTAAAATGTCTGCGAGATTTTGACATTCAAACTCGAACACAGTATAATATAAGATCGCGACTACACAACCTTGAGACTGTAAAACAAATTAAAGTAGCTTTAAGTCCGCAAGACGACAAACGGTATTTGTTACCGGGCAGTACCGACACTCTACCGTGGGGACATTATGCGATCCCTAAAATCGACGAATGATTTTGTGAAACATGATTGTAAAAAAATAAAAGGTTTGTTAATAAATAATGCAATTATATTCAATTTCCATGTGTTTTTATTTAAAAAATCCTTCCATATATACATAATAACATATGATTAAAACTTATATTAATTTAAATGTGCAAATCGCCCCCAGTAACTTAACGCAAATGCCAATCAACCAGCAAAGCAATCAAAGATTAATGTTAGCGTAGAACCTCTCTATAAATCAAAATTACTTCCAACAACAGACCTTCACAATGCCAGTGCCAACTGATTCATTGTTGATTCATTGTTGATTCATTATTGATTCATTATTGATTCATTATTGATTCATTATTGATTCATTAATGATTCATTGTTGATTCATTATTGATTCATTATTGATTCATTGTTGATTCATTATTGATTCATTGTTGATTCATTATTGATTCATTATTGATTTAATGTTAATTAAATTTGGCACTGGCAGTGTAAAGGTCTGTTGTTGGAAGCAGTTTTGATTTATAGAGAGGTTCTACGCTAACATTAATCTTTGATTGACATTTGAGTTAAGTTACTGGGGACGATTTGCGAATAATAGATTATACATTTGCTTTATCTTCCCACGTATTGTGAGAATTATCAAAGCCAAGCCATTTGACAAGAACTTTGTTTCCACGTGTCTTGAGAATTTTTTCCACAAGATAAATATCTGAATATTTTACTTTAAGAAGTTCCTCTTCATAAAATCCTCCGCTGATGGGTTGATCCTGGTAATCCTTGAGCTTGTAAGTCACTGGTTGAGTTGATACAACTTGATCAACGGTGAATATTTCTGTTGTCCAATTGGGTGTATATCCTTTCTCGAAAACGTTTTTATATTTGCTTACTCGAACTTTGTCACCAATTTTATACTTTGGTCGTCTTAAAGAAATTTTTCTCAGTTTAGAGATCCTTTCTTTTAAAATTTCAACGTCTTCTGAAGTAACATCTTTAGGCTTCATTCCAATTGTTCTATGTTTTGTATTATTGTAGTTGGAAATAAGAGTAGGCAATATATCATACCACTTGTAATTTTCTCGTAAATTAAATTGCATCTACATTTTTCTTTTTAGTGTTCGATTGAACCGTTCAACAATAGAAGCCTTCATATTACTGTATGTTGAGTAAAAATTTATTTTATGCTTTTTCATTAATGCTTCAAATTGTGAATTATTGAACTCTTTTCCTTTGTCACTATGCAAGTTTTTTGGTATGCGTTTTTTAGCAAATATAGATTGCATTGCATGAGAAACATCTTTTCCATTTTTACTTTTTACTGGAACAGCCCAAGCATATTTCGAAAATATGTCTATAACTGTTAGTAAATACTTGAAACCTTTATTTATTCTTGAATAAGGTATCATTTCTACTAAATCTGCTTGCCATGTCTCATCAATATCACGCATTTCAACTCGCCGTCGAGGATAATTTTTTCTAGCCTGAGTATGAAGTTCATTCACTACTGTTAATTTTTTGTTGTTCATTCTCAAGAGTTTTTAAGCGAGTATCCAATTCACTAATAATTTCAGCTGTTCGATAAGATAAGTCTTGATTTATATCTTTTTCAAAATTTTTTATTTTTTCTGTAATCGAGTCTTCAAGAACTTTTATAAATAAGTTGTTATTGTCCACCTCTGATCTAAGTGAGGCACTAGCTTCATACAATAAACGCACTTCGTGTTTTATCATATGTCGTACAAGTTTTAAATTGACAGCGTCGTTTTCTTCTTCAGCGTTAGCAAGATTAGAGAGTTTTCTTCCTTCAACGTCAAAGTTACCTTGAGAATTAAGTTTAAAACCAACTCCAGGAGGCCCTCGTCTTGCTGTTCCTCTTTGATTGAGAGGATGTCCGAACACGTCAATGCTCATTGTTGAAATGAATGATATTTGCTAAAACACATCTTAATATATAATTTTAGCTTCACGTAGTTCCTCAATGATAGACATGTTTTCATTATTGTGACTATGATTTCCAACAGCTTGAGAAGCCATTAATAGTCTAAGACGGTCAACCAACTCATTTGGATCATCCCAATAGATATATTATCGTTGAAAATTTCTGTTTGTAATCATAAATTTAGGTAATGAACTACCGCTTACAGATGGTTGTTTGGTAGGTGTTCGAGGGAAGAATTGAGATATAAAATTCAAATACTTGTAACTCTTATCTGTACGTATAGATTCAGAGGAACTATACTTCTTTTTGTGTGCATTAGTAGCAGTTACAAAGCTATCAAATCCTTTTCTATACCTTCCATCATTTAAATCAGAATCCTTATCAATTACTACAAATCCATATTTGTCTGAATTCCAACATGTTGAACATAGTTCTCGAAATTGATTAAATGTCATGTCAGTATTAACATGATCATCATAAACATGCCTTAAATTTTTCTCATCTTGACGAAAAAGAACTAGTAAATTAACATTATCACGTACTAAATGTTTAGGAACGCGGGCATATGTTTGACAAAGATAAAAAGAATCAACATCAACATGTCTACCCATGCAAAAAAAATGCCCTTACATTATCTTGCTTCTCACAAGCAATATCATTAAATATAAATATTGATAAATATTGAATTCCGTTTTGCATCTTTAGGAGTAATGACTTCTTCATGCTCACTAAATGGTAAATACTCTACTCCTTCAACATTACTTACAACTTGTTCCAAGAATTTATACTTGAGTTGATGTAAAGACTTTGAGTATAAGTAAATATTATCAAATCTAAGACCATTAGGATGTAAAATTAAAGAAAGGAGTACATTTGTCTTTCCACAATTTGATGGTCCACAAAAAATAGCTCGAATACTACCTGATAACAAGCTACCATGACGCTTCACTTTCTTCTATTGTTGTTTAACAATCGAGTCTAAATTGACGACTGGCAGCTTGTGAAGTTGTTCCTTGAACCGCATCCTGATTTAGACTGCCGCTAAAGGTATAAATACAGCGCTTATATAGTTCACAAGTCATTCTAATTTTAACTTTCACAGAGTAAGGTATGATTATACATCATCGCTCTCGAGAAAAAGGTTTAATTAATAAACTTATAAACAAGTTACCATTTGAATTACATTTGCCAGGTTATCAATATTGTGGACCAGGCACAAAGTTAGCAAAACGATTAGACCGAGGTGATCCAGGTGTTAATCCATTAGACGCCGCTTGTAAAGAGCACGATATTGCTTACTCGAAAAATCGAGAAAACGTTGAAGAAAGAAACGCTGCTGATAGAGTATTAGCTGACAAAGCGTGGCAACGTGTATTTGCTCCAGACGCACAATATAGTGAAAGAGCTGCAGCTTACGCAATAACAAACGCTATGAAAGCAAAATCAAAATTTGGAATGGGAGTAAAGAAGAAGAAAAAAGTCAAAGAAACGAGTAAAGAATATAAAATAAAAAAAAAGAGTAAATCTTAGAAAAATTGTTGATGTGGCAAGAAAATCAATAATTCCTGGTAATGATGCTCGTTTAACAATAAAGTCAGCTATTAAAACAGCTCGAAAAGCTGTAAGGAATGCAGGTGGTAGAGAAAAAGTTTTAACTACTCGTATTCTACCTGTCCCATCAAAAGTTGGTGGTCTGTTACCATTGATTCACATTTTTGCTGGTCTAAGTGCAATTGGAACGCTTACTGGGGGAGCTGCTGGTGTAGCAAAAGCTGTTAATGATGCAAGTGCAGCAAAAGAGCAGTTGAAGGAAGCTCAGCGTCACAATAGAGAGTTAGAAGCAGTTGCACTTGGTAAAGGTCTACATTTAAAACCATACCGACAAGGTTTGGGACTTCATTTGAAACCATACGTTAAAGGACAAGGTATTAAGAGACGATGTACAAAAAAAAAGTTTAAAGCTGCCTCAACGAGCACTTACAGATCTAGATTTACTTAAATATGTTAAAGAAATGAAAATATCCCATTTTCGAGGAGTTTTTATGCGAAATGAACTACCTATAAGAGGTCCTCGAAAAAATGAATCCGCCATTATTAATTTAGATGATAAAGATGGTTCTGGAACTCATTGGGTTGCATATAAAAAAGTTAATAATAAAGCAGTATACTTTGATAGTTTTGGTAATCTTCAACCACCCTATGAACTTGTCAATTACTTAGGTTACAATACTTTAATACAGTATAATCATCAAAATTATCAAGATTGTAATAGCTTTAATTGTGGTCATTTATGTCTAAAATTCTTATGTGGACAGCTTGAAATTACTAAAAAATATATTCTATATAAGTGATTGTAAGTCATTCCACCTGATCAGTTTATAAAAAGTCATCAACATGGAAGAATCTTTTACTCTGACTATCTCAGGCAATTCATCTGTCCTGGAGGCAGAATATTTTCCTCCGATAGAATTATTATCTAACAAAAATTATGTACTTGGCTTAGTTGAATTACTAACCTTCAATTCAATTCCTAATATTGATCAAGGTAAAAATAAATTTTATATTGGTGATAAAGTGATTACTATTCCCCCTGAAAGTTATGAAATTGAAGATATTGAAAAATATATTCAAAACTCTATTGAAAATGGATCTGAAATTGTAAGAATCAAACCTAACAATAATACTTTACGTAGTGAAATAACAAGCAGCCTTGAAGTGAGTTTTGAACAAAACGATTCAATTGGTAAATTATTAGGATTTACTCCACGAATATTGACAGCTAATAAGGCTCATACTTCAGATGTACCAGTAGCCATTCTTAAGGTAAATGCTATCAGGATTGAATGTAATATTACTACTGGTGCATACATAAATAATAAAAAGGTACACACAATTCACGAATTTTTTCCAATTGTTCCAGCTGGATATAATATTGTGGAAGTTCCATCTCACGTTATTTACCTTCCAATCGCCGTGAAGACAATACATAATATTCAAGTAAGAATCGTTGATCAAGACGGAGATTTAATAAATTTTAGAGGTGAAACTATAACAATTCGATTACACGTTAAATCAACGTAATGGGAATTGTATTTCATAGAAAAACTGGTGGAAGCTATATAAAAGAGTTGCCATGTCAGAAGTCATTCATTCCTCAATCAGTTCGCAAGAGACTAACATCTCAGAACATACTATTTCTGAAGCAGCTCGGCCTAAGAGTTAATCAAGAAAACAAGGGAAAAAATTGATTTTTCACATACTTTTTATTTGTTGTTGTAACAAAAATGGAAGAAATTTTAAACATTCTAAGTCCAGTTAAATTTGATAATTCTGTGGCACACTATGAGATTCATGCACATCAACCATACGTGTCATCAGCATTTAATAACAGTGACGAGATTCGAATTGCAGTTCAACATCAAGACTTGTACATTCTTCCCTCTAAAAGTACTTTACACGTCACTGGCAGAATTGTTAAGCCAAACAATACGCTTGTAACTAATACAAAGTTAATTAGCAAAGGTATTTCCTACCTGTTTAATGAGATTCGTTATGAATTAAATGGTGTTGAAATTGATCGCTCTAAAAATGTTGGTATTACAACCACAATGAAAAATCTAATTTCTCAAACACCTAATTAAATGATTTACTCTGAAAATGCTGGTTATCTACCTTATGATGATGATAGTAGAGTAACAAATGATGCTGGATATTTTGATGTAAATATTCCACTAAGTATGATTATTGGTTTTGCTGAAGACTATCGAAAGATTGTTGTAAATGCAAAACATGAACTTATTTTAACAAGATCTCGTACTGATCTAAATGCTGTAGTAAACATTGGAGTAGCTGAGCGTGAAGAATTTAAAATTATAATTAATAAAGTTGAATGGTTAATTCCATATTTAATGGTAAATGATTGCCAAAAAATTGAATTATTGAAATTCATTGAAAAAGACTCACTTATAACAATGAGTTTTAGATCATGGGATTTGTATGAGTATCCTATGATTCCTGCCACTCAAAAGCATGTGTGGACTGTAAAAACTTCAACACAAGTTGAAAAACCTCGATATGTTATTTATGGTTTTCAAACAAATCGAAAAAAAGATCAAGGAAGGTATGCAAATTTATTTGATTGCCTGTAATCTTCTCAATGTTAAACTTTTCTTAAACTCACAGTACTATCCTTATGGAAATTTAAATTTAAATTTTACTCAAAACAAATTTTCCATACTATATGATATGTATTGTAATTTTCAACCATCCTACTATGGAAAAGAATCTGAACCTTTATTAACTAGAAATAACTTTAAAGATTATGCCACATTGGCTGTTATTGATTGCTCAAAACAAAACGAATTTTTAAAACAAGCATCTGTAGATGTGCGATTGGAATTTGAAGCAAATGAAAATTTTCCAGCCAATACAGCTGCATATTGTCTTATAATTCACGACCGCATTATACAGTATACACCAATCAGCGGCGTTGTTAAAAAGTAACGTGAT